TTAAATATACTCAGGTATATTCAAGCTATGACCTTGTTAATATTAATAATATGTAACATATGTCACATAACCATGCGCACTTACCGTCTCATTCTAGCGTTTAATGTAGTGGTGGGAATTCCGGCTCTTTTGGCTCAGCTCAGCAAAAGGAACCCAAACGGGAGCCTTTATTTAGTACCACTTCTGGCTTTTATAATTCAGCCAAATATGTCAATGTTTTGACCTATGTCTGGTATGTGTGTACAAATATAATTCAATTATTCAAAGTAATTAAACTAAACAAAATAAAATCCAAAACTATAAAATGCTACGTAATCCTGAAGACCTTGATTAGCTCGTTAAGGTTAGAGTTGAGTAGAGTTGGACTTTGAGTAGAGTTTAACTCTTCAGCAAAGTGGGTCAGAGTTGCCCACCCCTGACCAAAAGCTTTTGCCTGAGAAATACTGCCCTGCCCTGATTTAAAGCGATGATGTCTCGCTTTAAAATGAACCTGATGCAGTTATGTAGACTCAGCAGTAGATGGAGTGAGAGACAGGGCCTTTGGAAATGAGGCGGCATGCCAGGGGAGCTTAGACCCTGGACAAATGTGACAGAAGAACCTTGGGGCTGAGATAGGCAGAAACCTCTATGGAAGAGTACTACAGGAGTCTAGTAGAATTGCCTGAAAAATATCAAAAGCTGTTATAGCTTACAAACCATAAAAGAAAATGTTGTCCAGGGTGCTGGTATCTGACAACTGATTCTAAACTTAATGCTTTTTGCTTTTGAATGAAGTTTACTAGACTGTCCTTTAAGTAAATAAATACAATTTCATTAAATAACAGGATTTGATGTGTTAGATTTGTTTTTCAGTATGTCATGTTTTGTCTATGAAAACCTTTTATGAAATTATTATTGCTACATGTTCTAATACTAAAAACCATTTCATCATTGAGATAATATTCTTTCATCGACTGCTGCTTATCCACCACTTTAGACCTTCCTCACTCTTACATTGTGGAAGACTATAAAGCACACTGCTAAAGTACAGCTACAAAAATGCTAGAATGAAATTACAAGTTTCATAAACAAACTGAGCTACTTTGTTGAATACACCACAGCAAATTGAACATGTTTGTAAAAAAAATGATGATCTGTGTCATTGTTGATTGATATCATTGTTGATATCACCCCTGTTGATATCAGACTCTTGTGAGTTGAGCATATGGACCTTCAGCTTTGTTTAAACATGCAGAAATTTAATGCAGAGCGAATCTCAAAATACATTGTACATCTCAAAATCTACAAAAATGCTAGAATGAAATTACAAGTTTCATAAACAAACTGAGCTACTTTGTTGAATACACCACAGCAAATTGAACATGTTTGTAAAAAAAAATGATGATCTGTGTCATTGTTGATTGATATCATTGTTGATATCACCCCTGTTGATATCAGACTCTTGTGAGTTGAGCATATGGACCTTCAGCTTTGTTTAAACATGCAGAAATTTAATGCAGAGCGAATCTCAAAATACATTGTACATCTCAAAATACAGGTGTAAATGCTGTTTACATAAACAAGCAACCTAAAAGTATAAAAGCAATCCTGATTTAAAATACTAATACTTTAGTACATGGGTATATACTAATGAGAGATACTGTATTTATGAATCATTGCAGGATATTTTAAGGTACTTGAAAGACTACCATGGAAGTATACCATAGCACACAAGCTGGTAATAAATGGTAGAATGCAAAATCAAGCTGATAAGAAAGGGAACAACATTCATGTGGATGTTAAAATGTAAACCCATGCTATCATGATAAGCCATGAGACAGTGTCTCACTAATTTGCATGTTGGCACCACACTGTAGTGGGTGCCAACACTTTATGTAAACATCTATGAAGGTTATGCCCATTGTCTGTGCTATCAGCTTCTGCCAGCAAACATGTGCCAAGTGGCTTCCAGAGGATATGAAGTGACATTGTCTTGCTCTTAAGTAGAATGCAAAATCAAGCTGATAAGAAAGGGAACAACATTCATGTGGATGTTAAAATGTAAACCCATGCTATCATGATAAGCCATGAGACAGTGTCTCACTAATTTGCATGTTGGCACCGCACTGTAGTGGGGGTCTTTATGTAAACATCTATGAAGGTTATGTCCATTGTCTGTGCTATCAGCTTCTGCCAGCAAACATGTGCCAAGTGGCTTCCAGAGGATATGAAGTGACATTGTCTTGCTCTTAAACCTGTCGGGTTTTACATAGAAGTTAAAAAGTGGGACAATAGTAGAAAAAAGTATTTTACTTTGTTTCTTTAGTTTTCATTCAGTGGCTTTCCTTCATACAGTGCTAAACATAGAAACTGAGTCCATATATGTATGGGTGAATGAATGGATGGATGGTCATTATTATTATCTGGTGGTGTGGTGTGTAAATCTTATCAATGCAAAAATGTACTGATTAAGAAAACGGTTTCATACTAATCTACAGATCCACGTAGACCATGTTTCCACTCTATTGTAGACAGGCTAAACAGGTTCTCTGCAAACAACCTGTTGTCAGCTGTTTTTTAAGAGATTGGCAACCCTTAAACAGGCAACGTGCACCACAGGATACATATTCTTTAGTCTCTTGTAGGAGGCACGAGGAAGAATTTTTCATCCAATACTGTCATCGTTATCATAGTCGAGGTTGTTTGGCGTATGGGGGTTACATGACTTGGTTAAAATTTTCTGTGCTTGTTTTGTCAATTTGACCTAAAGCCAACATGTACACCCATGGGGCTGGACATTCAGAAAATGTAGAAAGTAGGCATATATTAATCTTACTTTTTTCAGCAAAAAATGCAGTACAACTGTTAGTATTAATTATGAACATTGTCTTGAGATGTTGAAACAGAAAATTAAGTCATATGTTGTTTTTTATCGCATTTTTAAATAAGTCGCATCAAGGGGAGCGGATGTCCCTCAGTAGAAATCACATATCAGGGCAAGGGGCCCTTAGCGATAAGCCTTATAGGCCCTCCTGACCCCCTGTACACAGTCCCCTTTTCTATTTATTTTGAGTTTAGAAATTGTGCAAATGTTAATATTTGCATGTAAAACTGATAATATTGCATTTAGTTGACTTCATCTTTGCATTTTTAACTAGATTTCTGTTCTTGCAGGGTTTCACACAGCTCATTTTATGGCAGAACGGGTGTCCAGCCCTGCTCCTGGAGGGCTACCATTCTGCAGTGTTTAGCTCCAACCCTAACCAAACACATCTGAAAAATGTAACAAAAGTCTTTGGGATTACATAAAAATGATATTATGTTACATAAATGACATTATATGATTGTTTAGTGATGGAGCTAAACCGTGCAGGACAGTGGACCTCAAGGGATGGAATTGCCCACCCCTGAGAATGAAGACGAAACAGTTCAGAAATTTAAAAATACAAGAAATGTCTGTGCCTCAACTTTAGGACGCTTAAGACATGTCATACATGCAGCATATTTTGAATATTACATATTTGTTTGCATCAAATAAATCATAGAATTATTGATGAATTAGACTGTTTTTTATAACCTAATAGGGCAACGTATCCTGGGAGATACAACTCATAAAATCCAAAATATATCAAGTATTACAAAAAGTCCTTTGAATATGTTTTACTTAAGTCCAGATGATATAAAAAGTGACATGAAAAGATTTTTTGCTGATAATTTTCCACTCTTGCCTGTTTAAGGGTTAATTAGTCCATTTGGCATCGGAGCTGTATTAATGAATCAAATGAATATGAATCTTTGTAACAGTGAACTGGGTGGTACAAGTGAAGTTCATGGGAGAGTTTTTCTTGCCCTCGAAAAAAAAGGAAAAATGCAAACAGCATTCTCTTCCTGAGCTTCAGTGGATATCTGTTTCCCACACAGGATGTCATTCCCACCCTGAAGCCCCTGTTTTCCCTGTACCTACTTCATACGCACAGGGCCTGGCTGTGTGCTGCGGTCATAGAACATTACATTCTGCTCTTTTGATTTCCTCATATCCAGTTATACCTTACATAACATCCTCAGATGGGATCATTTAAATATTTTAATGAGACACAGAGACAAAACTCTCATTTTCATAGGACTGAGTGAGTCTAAGTTCCTTTGACTGAATGATACCATCAGCAAAATATAAAACCTGTTTGCTGTGAAGTACAAATAATGGGGCATTTAAATCCATGCAAAAGAAGTGAAACATCAGAGATTGTTTTTGTTTCAAAGTGACAATGACTTTCTTGAGTTATTGAATGGATTATGCATGATTCTTTGGAAAGCTGCAAAACACATTGCGCTCAAGATGGAATTTATGACACAAAAGGTAAGAAAGTTTGGAGGGATAATGACCACAGCTTACCTGGAAAATAATCTGACTAATACTGGCTGACATGTGGTGTCCGGAAAACAAGTTCCTCCTGTACACTGCACAGTTATTAGGAACCTGGGATTCTCCACCCTAATGCTGATATCACTCTTGCATATGAAGCTCAGGATATTGCATATTACCTCATTAGGTGTGTTTCCAGGTCTCATATGCATTAGATCTTATTATAAGAAATATTTACACCAGTGAAGACTGTGGTTAAAAACGTGGCAAAAATATTAATAAATGCATGTTTTGTGAATGATAAACTATTATAATTGTGTATTATTAATCAAATTATATCATATTAATCATATAATATAATTACAAAGTAATTAATCATGCTTTTCTCTGTCTCTTCTCATGATTTTCACACCTAACACCAATACATTAGTAATAGAAAAATACTATTCATGCAAAAACTGATTTTTATTTTAATATTTTAATTGTATTCTTCCGACTTACCTTCGAGGTAATTACACATGATTTAATTAGACTAGGTAAAGACCAGGATGCAATCACTTAATAACAGTCATATATTCATAGATTATGGTGATGGGCGGAGCCTCTATTTTTGTTGGCTAAATTAAGGCATTTCTTCTCACTAGTCTCTCTGTGGATGAAGGCGAATGGGAGCTGGCGGAGAGTGGTCTGCATATTTATTTATTTCACCAGGATTTATGTTCATCTATGCAGCAGTTTATGGAATATGCGAATGACAGAGCAGCCCCTGAACTGGGTTACGATGAGCTCAGTATATCCTAATATGATTTAATTTTGTGTTTCACAGACCAGTGTTATATTATTAGGGTAGTAATCTAAGACTTGAACGTTGTTTACATCAAGTCCCTTCACAGAATAAACATGGATGAAGATAACCGAGGTAAGGTTTGTTTTATCGTCAAGCACAAGCAGCTGTCATTCTCCGGTTTGTTTGTTTCAAAACGGCATTTTTTGAGCGTAACGGGCGCGTGCAGTTGATTCGGAACGAAGGATATTTCATCAATCATCAGCACTAAACGGAGAGGCGAAAAGTAAACTTTAATGTAACATTTTCTACTATTCTTACTTTTAATACTATTATCAGTGATTGGATACGAAAAAGTTACTTTATTTACACTTTAACATTCTGCTATTTATAAAAGGTGTTTCGTTTTTACGTGAAATGGCTTATAGTGTTCTTGCTGTCGATGTGTTATCGTTGTGTTTTAATGAGAATTTGAACATCGCTTAATTCAGTCTTATTGCCGGAGCCGTTCATATGGCTGTTCATATGTAGGTCGACAGTTTGTTTGATGTGGAGATCCTTTGAAGCAGCTCGCGAGATGTTTATGAGAACAGTTGTGGTGCCAAGAGGGATCACGAGGCATTTAATTAGTCAAGTGCTCGTATTTTTTTATAGAGCACTGTATAAATGACCAGTTTATTAATTGGGAAATACTACTTTCAGAACTGAACAGTAGGCTATTACTTGAGTGCCATTCTGCACTCTACTGTAGCAGTGTTGACATTCAGTACAACAGCACAATTGGGAGACCAATGTTGCTTTATACAACATTTCAGTAAACAATAACTGATGTTTCAGACAAAAAATAAATAAAATGCTGGTTATTTTGTATATATCTTCTCCATCAGGTAAAATGTTTCCAAATGGGGATTTGGAAACATGTGTCCCCCCCATTGGGGGGGACACATGTGTCCAAATGTCCCCCCAAATGGGGAAGTCGTGGCCTAATGGTTAGAGAGTCGGACTCATAAGAGATAAAAAGTTGCCATTACCTTTCTTTATTTTTTTATTCATTGGTGGAAACGGGCTTCCATACGTTTCCCATTTAACACAATAATGGCCTTAAATTATCTTTTGCGGGTATTTTCACAGCCAAATTTAGTTTGCGATTAATTATATTAATTTCCGAATCATGTAATTAAATAAAAACATTTAATCAACTGACAGCCCTAATATATATATAACTATACAGTAACTGTAGTAGTGTGTGGTTGCATGGTAATTTTTAAAGGACTTTCTTTAAAAAAAAGTATTATATTATATTTATACTTATATACGAAAACATTAAATGTATATTTGACACCTTAACAGTACTACACTGATTATAGCCATCTGGTCAATGGATTATTGTGTTGACTATTTTGGAAAGATAAAAAATGATGGAACTTGATTTTGGACAAGTGCCAGTGAGCTTTAAGATGACTCTTTTGAGATGATTTTTCCGCAGTGATTCTGCATTTAGTTACTATATATGGGATCATCTAAATAGACAGTGGAGATGATGCTAGTGATTTAGTTTGTGGCTGTTATGCTCTGAGAGTTGTTTTGGTATATCAGTGTAAAAAAAAAAAGAAACAGAAACCAGACCTAAAATCCAGACATCTGGAGCACTTTTGAGCCAGTTTCACTACTATGTTGATTTACCGTCGTAATCACTTTATCTGACAAAGACCAATTGTAAATGTCTACAAGAACAAGAGAGTACAGAGCTGTAGAGGTACCATTAGCTCAGTAGGTCTTTCCAGTTCCTCTTGTATCTTGTAAACTTCAAAGCCTTGGACTCAACGGCTATTTGTCTTATCTTACCGTGGGAAAAACCAAATGGAATACCATTTTCTCTCTGTTTCTGTGGCAGATGGTTGACTGCAAAGAAAGACTGATAGGATGTCATGACAGCCCTCTTAACAGTCTCTACCAGAACCAGAAATGTATGGCCATTTAAAGTTTTTTAAATCATTGCTTTGTCCTAAGCTAAGGTCTAACCAGAGGCAGACTTTCTCAGACTGATTAAAGGAGAGATAGTGAGGCATGGCGCTCATTGTCTGCATCTGATGCCACCGGTGTCTGTTCCTGGCTCTCCTGAGGAGCCGTCTGGCACCAGGCATGACACAGGCAGTGGTCAAAACCTCTTCAATGGTGTGACTGCACCAGCAGAGATCCGAAGGACACCGTGCCTGTCAAATCTGCTTAAGGTCAAGACAATGTCAGCCACGTTATTATATCAAAAACATTGTAGTGTTTACATTTCACTGCTGTGTATCCATTCTGAATACTGATAGATCTGATACTGAGACATCTTGAGTACTGATTTGATGTTTATGTTTGCTGCCGATTGAGATTTTGAAATTAGGTTTAATCTGTGAATATTGCAGACTTTAAGATGGTGTCAAACATTTATCGTGTGGATGCATTCTTATTATTGTGAGTGGATGAGACTGAAGAATGAGAGAGATCTTTCAGTGTTTGTTGAGGTCTAAGTGTCACATATGGAATTGATTTGAAGAAAGTCTGGAGTGTATTCCAAAATATTTTATGAACTATAGCGCCAGTTGAACAGTTGCAATGAGTGGATGGTGAATTACTGTTGTTGAATGCAAATATTTTCATATTTGTTTTAAAAATGTGAAAGGGAAAGTTAAAAACCTAAATAGGTTTTTGATGGGGTTGTCAAAACATTTTGTCCCAGCAGGAGATTTAAAAACAAACAGTCACTAGTACAAAGGACCCTTGTCCAGTTTTCCACCCACTGAGTCAGGACCGTCCCAGAGCCCCATCGCTTTCATGTCAGGAATGCAGTATTCAGCAGCCATGCATTCTTGAGCATTATTTCTTTATCATTTGCAGGTTTTCTGAAGAAAGAGACATTAAAAGGGGTTGTGGGTATTTCATAAGATAGATACATTTGATAGAAGATAGATTTGGTCACTGGTACATAGTTTGAATCATGTTTAGTGATTGAATTGTTTCGTTTGTTGAATCACCTAGCTTTTTTATGTTGTGTTAGGAATATCAATATCCATAGAGTCTATTTTCATTGTTACCTGTATGTTGAAGATATGCTTCAAAATAAAACATAAATATGTGTATTAGCATAACTTTATTTTATATATATATATATAACCATACATTGCTGTTCAAATATTTGCAATGGGTAAGATTTTTTTCATGTTTCTGATACTCACAAAGGCTGCATTTATTTGACCAGTTATTTTCACACACTGATCAGAAAGCAACTTTTTTCTCTTTTGGAAAGAGATAAGCTCTCTGCCCATTCCGTCTGTCTCACTGATTAACAGTAATGTAAGTATCCTTCTTTCTGGAAAACAGGTTGTTAAGTGTACAATTATCAAAAACAGTATAAAAAAGCAATCTAACGTGCCTACTAGGCCCATATAATCTCGAAGCTTTGTACTAGGTATCTTATTATCAGCTATATTATGGTAATATATACATTATTATGATTGACAGATACATTAACTCAGCAATGAAGATGTGCAATGGACCAACATATAGCCCACACAAGCCTGTATAGATGGTTTATGCACTGTTATCATATTTGGATAGGATAGTGGCTGGGACACATCTGTGTGTGCAGCACACTTCCTGTGCTGTGGGCCCTTGCCTGAGAGTGTGGTTAATATCAATGGGTAAGCCTGTGGATTTAGAGCAGCTGGTGGCCCGTGCAGCTATTGAGGATAAGGATAAGATATAGTTAGAGGGATTGAGGCCAGTGTGTAGATTAAAGAGGGTGTTAGAGCCCAGGATGCAGAGTTTGCTGCAAATCCTTTAATATCTATATTCAGAATGTCAACATGAATTCAACTCATCTTTTTCCACAAACTTATATGTGATTTTCCAGCCTAGTCTCATTGTTTATACGTAGGTATTAGTACGTATCGTTTACAAGCACAAAACATACATTTTTGTATGTTCTTATTGATGCTGAAATGTACTATTTGGACGTATTTCAATCCTGAAAACGTAAAGATTGCTGCGTGTTTTTAGCTAAAAAAAACGTAAAATATTTACAAATCTTTTATATCTTTAAGTTATTTGTATCAATGCGTTTTTATAATTTTATTGATAAGCAATTCGGATTTTTAGACCTTTTAACCTACCCTCAAACCTAAACCTAACCATTTTATTGTGAATTTAAAAATATATAAAACTGCACTGACCCGAAATATGCAAGGAAATTACAATTTTTGTAAAAATATAGCATTAAAAATATATTTTTATAGTCGCTAATCCCACTCCTACCTCTAAACTTAACCATAACTATTTCTTAAAAATATGTGCAGTATAAAGAAAAACATGACAGACAGATAAGTGCAATCACAATAATTTATTTACTGCAAAAATGTCATCAACAGTACCAGAAGTAACCAAAATGACGATGCGTTACAGTCTCAGCCCTCTCTGGTGGAATACAGTAGGTTTGTGTGAGGTGCAGACTCAGAGCAGAATTTAAGTTGTTAATCGCTGAAAATATTATGCAGATTATTATCCAGATCCACTCCGTGAAGGCGCGCATTTCTCATGCAACACACCTCACCAGAAACACGGCATGTCGCAATCTGTGACGAAGCAGGCGAGAGCCAATCAGTGTTCGATTTTCCTGTCGTAAAACCATAAAACCTGTCGTAAACCTGTCGTAAAGCTTCTTGAACGAGTCTCGTTTTCATTTGTAAGGAGCGGCCAGCTGCTTACGTTTTGCTGCTTACGGTCGCTGCTCAGGCTCGCAGTCGTATGGATTCTGAAGATTTGGATTACAGCACACAAATTGATTATTTTTGTAATTTTGTTGCGATTTTTGGTGTATTCTGTTTTATGGTTCTATTGTCAGTCACAGCATGTCGGAGAAAATGCCTTTTGTGTCCTATGGCAAACAAAGTAAATATTACACAAGTAATTATTAAACAACTGCAGAAGTGTTATTCATTTTAAGGGTTTAAAGTGTAGGCTTGTTTAACATTATGTATTCTTCTAAACGAGTTGGCAGCAGAAATCACACAGAACAGAATGAAATCTTATCATTTCATATTAAGGAAATGAGTAAACTTAATTTAATAATGTAATTGAAAACTTTATGCCATTTGATATGACAACTGAATACAATACAACATTAAATGTTAATGCAGAGATTTCAATATTCATAAGGATTCATTTGTAACTCTTTCAAGTTGTTCAAATGTAAATAATTTATGTTTTAGGTGTTGTCAATACGTCAGTATTGTACGTTTAGATGCTCTAAAAATGTTAGTATTGTACGTTTTGTTGTAAAAACTTAAGTAAATGTACGTTTTGTTGAACCATATTTTATGAAAAATGCATACAAATTCTCATGAGATCACATTGCAGCGATTTTCAGTTGTGTCTAATTTAAGGGAAGTCATGGCCTAATTGTTAGAGAGTCGGACTCGTAACCCAAAAGGTTCGAGTCTCGTACCGGCAGGGATTGTAGGTGGGGGGAGTGAATGTACAGTGTTCTCTCCCACCTTCAATACCATGACTGAGGTGCCCTTGAGCAAGGCACCGAACCCCCAACTGCTCCCCGGGCACCGCAGCATAAAAATGGCTGCCCACTGCTCCGGGTGTGTGTTCACTGCTGTGTGTGTGCACTTAGGATGGGATAAATGCAGAGCACTCATTCCTAGTATGAGTCACCATACTTGGCCACATGTCACGTCATTTTAGGCTATTACGAATTTAAAGAACCTGCAGTTTTTTTTTTTTTTTACAAACAGCTGTAATAGTTTCTTAGCAAAGTGTCACTCATGACAATTTTGCATACAGCCAACATTCCTGTTTTCCCACAAGACAAGGTGCAGGGTAGTGATGTCATCCCTAGCCACTGATTTTTTGAGTGTTTCTTATTTTTCCTTTTTCCAAAAATTCAGCATAATGGTTTATATGAATAATATGGAAAGCAACTTGGTAATAATAATGCCTGCCAATCTATGCAATGTCTTGATGAAGACAAACTGATTTTCACAATGAGCCTCAGGACATTGTGGCTTGATTTCATGAGAATGGAATTTACTTCTGTTCTACTAATTTTTGCCAATTCCACAGGCAAGTTAGAGGCACAGAATGTTCATATCTTGAAGGAATATTCTATTTTTACCCCATTTCTTCCAAACTAGTTACATTTGTCCATACACAGACCAAACCCTGTTGTGTAACGAACAAATGGCTCCTCATTAAGATTTAGTATAGCATTTATATAATGATAAAAGATTGAAAAAAGACCACTGCATTTAATATAAAGGCTCAGAATGACTGCAATGAATCCCCCTGTAATGTTATTGTTAAGGTTGAACCCTGATTCATGCACTCATTCTCAACTTCCCCTCCATCATCATGAGGCAGAACCAGACAACCGCAGCAAGTTCCCCCCTGCCCCTCTTATTAGCCCGTCTCTTGTCTAATCCTGGTGCATCTGAGGTGCAGTTACATAATGTACTTATATATATTGTCCACATTTACAAGCAACTGATGTCCTCATCCAAAACACTCTCCTACTTGTGAAAGTTTTGAGAAATGATAAAGTCAGTTCAGGAGATTATTGACCTTTGTGACTTAATTAAGCATCTGAAACCTCTACAAAAGAGTTATATAACACCCACAGTGGAGTTTGCGATGCTCAATACATGTTTTCTTTACTGTAACCTTCTGTGTTTCAGTGGGCACCTCAGTGTTGCAAAGTTGGGTTGGCTTACAGTCTCTTATTTAGATGCAGGATGAATTTCACCATGTAAGGTCAAGTTGTCCTGAACATATTGAATCATATCATAGGTGTCCTCAAGGAATGAAGTACTTACATAAAATACTCGGTTTCCAGCCTAAAAGAAAAGCTTCTTTCTTGAGTACTAGGTTATGGGTTGCCAAGGCCAGTTTAATTAACATTATTTATGAGGATAAATGTGCTCTGGATATTTTTTGTCTTACATAGCACTTTGGGTTTTGAGTTTAGGTCAGAAATATAGCTGTTTAACAAAAGATAAAGTATACAGCTTCTTTGGATGTCTTGTAGAATCAGTTTTTTCTTGGTTATCATTATTATTAGATGAAACATTTTAATGTAATATATGTTTCTCAACAGTGCCTGAAGATCTCTCACTGGAAGAGAGAGATGAACTGTCCAACATTAGACGGAGGAAAAAAGAGTTGCTAGATGACATTGAGGTATCGGCATTAATGTAGCTGTTATATTTTTTAAGTCATTAATATATATCAGTGATTGACATTTATCATGTCACCGTTCACTACAAGTTCCACCTGATGGGGGCTGAATGTCATTGGTTGCACGATGTATTTTATTATACACTGCATTAATTTGAAGAATATTAAGAACGATTTTTGGTGAATTTGATTAACTTCAGTGATATAACTTAAGTAACGACTTTTTCTGTGATTCTTGCAGCGGTTAAAGTTTGAGATCTCAGAAGTCATGACAGAGATTGAACATTTAACGTGTGTCAGAGAGACGTATGTTACTTTTTGTTTTTCAGATAACAACGATTTGTTTAGCATTGAGACTAAAATAATATTAGTTCATATTTGTTATTTTAAAAGAGAACTTGAGAACTTTTTTTCACCACATTACAGCAAAAGCACTCAGAAGAACAAGCAGATTGCTGTTGGAAGAAAGAAATTCAATATGGATCCTAAAAAGGTATTATTGTTGCTATTGCTTTATTCACCTTACACTCTTAAAAATAAAGGTGCTTCACGATGCCATAGAAGTGTACCTCTGCTTTTTTAAGACCCTTGCATGTATTCAAATGATGTTTTTTATTTCCATACCCCAAACATAGTCTTACACGATAGTACTTGTGTGCATTTTTTAGTTGGTCTGAAACCCTGTTGTAGAAAACTGAACAAACGAACAGCGACTGACTCCTGAATGTCTAAAAGTCTATACTGTCTTTTGATTGACCTCTGTTCAAATGAGTGCATGTATCTCTTGAGATGGAGCTTGGAACGAATGAGGAAATAGCTATTGCTGATTAAACCATTTTTTCTCATTATTTTTAGAGATGACTTCAACATTAAGGTTTTGCAGGCATTTGTGGAGCTTCATGAGTTTGCATTTCTATCAGCATGGAGTCATGCATAAAGATGCAGAGACATTAAAAACTGGCCTATATCTTGCATAAAACTCTATGCTTTCAGAATTTATCATTTAGAAGTCAACTACTAAAAAAATTAAAATGAGAAAAAAGAGAGTTGTATACTGTTCATATAGTATCTTTATATCCATTCTCCATTTAATTTGCCATTGTGGACCTTCAGAGCTGACTGACCGATCCAAGTTTTTTCTCTCCACAGACACATGCTATGTTCTTTCATTCTCTGTCATCATGCTCAACACCAGCCTGCACAACCCTAATGTCAGAGACAAGCCCTCGGTGGAAAGGTTCATATCCATGAATCGGGGCATCAACGAGGGAGGAGATCTGCCTGAGGAACTGCTCAGAGTGAGTCTCTGCATCCTACTGTGATGGAGAGAGCTGCACACTCCTCTCCAAGTTATGTAATGATAGAATAGGCATTTGCATGTTGTTTTTTCCTTCACAGAATTTATATGAAAGCATTAAGAATGAGCCTTTCAAAATTCCTGAAGACGATGGGAACGATCTAACTCACACATTCTTTAATCCAGACAGAGAGGGATGGCTGCTAAAACTAGGTTTGTATATCTTTCTCTCTGTATGCCTGTCTATCTATCTATCTATCTATCTATCTATCGTTCTTTCATGGTTTCAAACCCACGAATTTGCCCTGATTTCTTTAAAGATTGGATTTAATATGGTATTATCCAACATCTCACTCAATAACTTTTTTACATTATGGCTCATCCAGCAGATTTGCTACTGTGACATCATTCAAAGTAATTAAAGAGCTTTTAAAGATTACATAGATTTTTAGGATTACATAGATAATGCTGTTATTGGCAGACCATTAACGCTTTTATAGCACTTCAGTGAGTAAATGTTTATGAGTCATTTAATATCCTTTAATATCCATCAAATGGATTTTGGCAAATGTTAGTTGGTGAGAGATAGGGTCTACACTAATTCCATGTCATGCAGTTATGTATTTACAGTATAAAAGATCTGCCACTGTTTAATCACTTTCCCAATGTATATATATATATTTTTTATTATCTGTATTTGAATTGCAGGGGGAAGAGTGAAGACCTGGAAGAGGAGGTGGTTCATTTTGACAGATAACTGTCTGTATTACTTTGAATATACAACAGTAAGTAGAACTGCTCGATATGTCCTGTTTGAGCAATAAATAGATTTAGGATTTATCTATAAAATGTATTGATGATTCAGATAGTTAAGATATGGGTGAAAGGAGGTCAGATAGAAGAGGAAGTGAGGGAGAAAAAGAGTAAGTGAACAGCTAAGAAATAGTTTGTTCAGTGTCTAAGCAGATACCAGCACTCCTCACAAGCTTCACATTTACAATAAAGACAAAACAAGATCTGAAGAAACTTGACAAATGCTTTCTTTCCTGTTTTGATGTATTTCTGAAGCTTTTAGCCAAAAGACTAGTTACAGCAACAATTTGCTATTTGTTAGTCAGTTTCAGCTGGTATTAGGGGAGGGAAATTGCCATTTTGGCGCATTTGATTGGACAAAAATCTTTGTAGTGCAGGACGTGTCATCAGTAAGTACATGTTAAATGTGTACACATGCTAAAATGAATTGTGTCAGTGTTTATGAGTACACGACCTCAAAGTGAACACTCATGGACTAAAACCCAAAGCACCAACCTCCCCACTGTCATCTCATCAGCAAAGTGGAAGGAAATAATGCACTTTTTCCAAGGTTGTGTGCCAGATTTAGATCAAGAGACAGACAGAAGTTGCTTAATGTGCACATAGTTAGTTCCCTCACTTTTTTATCATGCGTTTCCATAAGTCCCCACCATCCACATCACATTTAGGGAAACATATTGCAGATTAAGTCTAAGACTAGTTGCTTTAATAACAAATAAACATGGTCTATTACTCATATGTTCACAGGACAAAGAGCCTCGGGGGATCATTCCACTGGAGAATCTTAGTATAAGAGAGGTGGAAGAACCAAGAAAATCAGTATGTTTCTACTTCAAGCTCTCAGTTAAATTATATTATTTTCTTTTTCTTTTTTATATTCTATCCATTTCATGCTTCGACCTTTCAGAATTGCTTTGAGCTCTACAACCCCAGTCATAAGGGGCAGGTAATTAAGGCATGCAAGACAGAGGCTGATGGGAAGGTGGTGGAGGGGAATCACGTGGTGTACAGAATATCCGCACCCACGCCAGAGGAGAAAGAAGAGTGGATCAAATCCATCAAGTAAGGCTTCACCGTGTCAGCCCTCATTATTCTCTTCTCAGATAACCGATATGTGCTGGTTGTAGGTCATATACACACACCCACAGATGCTCAGAAAGGAACACTGGCTTCTCTTATCATGGAACATCGCCGTTGTGCTGATAAGATGAAGAGAGTGTTTCCAGTGTCTTAGACCTTGGCTGTGCACTGAAAAAAAAACTAAAGTTTTCAGTAAAACTAACTAATCCATTTTTAATTTGCATTAAAATAGAAATTTGCAGAAAATAATCTTTCATTTATTTATAATATTAATAGTATTTTTTTCTTACAATTTTGTCAGATTTAATCAAATAAATAAATATTAATGAATTTTTTCATCAAAAAAAAAAGTCTTAATATCCGTTATATTTATTTTGTTTTAAGGATGTTTTTACTGAAAAACAAGACAAAATATCAGCCTAGGAAATAGATTTTTCACAGTGTGGTACATATACTGTACAAACCTCACACTGTAGGGCTGACAAGACTATAATGGATTCTGAGTGACCCACTGTCCTCTGAAGGTTAAGTGGATGTTCCTGAGGATAAATCAGCATTTATCACTGGAGAAGGGGAAGCCAAAGACCACTACGTCTCTTGCTGTTGACCATGACTCTGGCTTTTTTTCCCCTGCCTAAAACAGACTGGTTTTAAAAGAAATGGAAAACGTATGTTTGGGTCTTATGTAGGTCTCTGAAGGCCATTTGTGTACAATAGTTGAAAATGTGTGGCACTATCTAAGTGTCTAGTTAACACATGTCCTCTGACTCAGCTGGAATTGTGGAACTGCTCTGTGGTCAGTTTAGCCTGGTGTTTTACATCAAAAGCTGCCTCAGCATGTCCTGTGGGACTGCCAGGAACTCTGTGCCACCCAAACCCTAAATAAAAGAACCCTGTATCTTTTTATAATCAGGTTGACTGCTTCCAGAAAATACTGTTATTGTTTTATATGGATGTATATTTCTATGCTTTGATTGTACAATTTCTGTTTTATTGTTGCTTTCCTACAGGGCAAGCATTAGCAGGGATCCTTTCTATGACATGCTGGCTACTAGGAAACGGCGAGTGGCCGCTAAAAAGTGAGCCATGGACCTTCAGTTTGGGTTTAATAATCACTCTTCAAGTGGAAACCTTCACATGGGATCCTGCATGTTGCAGGAGGTGACAGACAGACAGAGACACAAGCTCTCTGAACATAAAGAAGGACACGATTTTAAAAATGATGGTGTCTGTATAGGTCCTGAGGTAATCTAAGGGATAATGTGCTAAATATTTATCTTTGAATGGATTGTAAGGGGAAGACAGTGATGGTAATGATGCAATTATGTGCTGAATGTTTGTCAAAAAGAACTTTGCTTAAAGAGTGATGACTGATTCAACTGTGCTACGATATTTGCCTAATTTCATGTGAGGGTCTAATATAGAGCCCCCTGCTGCCTACAACAGGAACTGTTTGCTATTGCAAATTTCCAGGTATAGTTATATGGAGATGTTCACAAGGCAAAAGTCTAAATTTAAGCTCTTGTAATGATATTAGATGTTGATGAAATGTATGTTAAGTATACCAAACTACTGTTAATGTCAATTCCACTCACCGTTTTTTTCAGAAATTTCAGATGTTGTCTATGAATACAGAAAATAGATCCATATGGCAGGGAGTCATGAGGAGTGTAATTTTCAGTGCTATTGTTTAATTTCAAATATTATTAATTGTGCATCGGTAGTTTTAAATGATTTTATTTTCATTTGTGTCATATCATAGTCATCCAAATCAGCAGGACTGGTTGCATTACTTGGAAGAGAAAATAACCAGAAAGCTTTTTCATTTTATATTTATGTTTTTAAGGTCCTTAATAGTATTATAAAATACTGTAAAAATCTATTTCTGAAGTTCTCTTACTATGATAATATTATTTAATGTCTTTTTAAGAATAATGCAAACTCTACACCCATTTGATTCTCCTTTTGATTGAAATTGTTACTAATATAAGTTCATGTATTTTATTTATGTAATACTGCCAATGTTATGTGAACTTATGTTTTGTAGTTTTTACTATGTTTGTAAATAACACACATACCGCACACACAAATAACATCACAAAAGCCATAATTATTTTTATTATTTGAACTTTTTTGGAAACTCCATAGATCTAGAACGATGTATTTACAGCTTGTCAGCTGAGAGCTTTTATGTGAAGGCTGTATGGCTCTGTAAACATGAAACTCATTTCTCATAGTTTATTGCAGAGTATAAAGGAAATACTCATAGACACACTGCTAAAAGGTTCAATAATCGATATGATTTAAATGAAATTAACCACTGTCCACTGTCATCACTGTCCAGTTCCATGTAGGGCAGCAATACTAATCACAGTGAAATACAGAGAATACGATTTATGAGTTATGACATAAATTCTACAATGAGGCCCCCTTTTCTAAGTTTACCTTTTAAAACAGATATAACCATAGTGATATGCAACCAAAACCCATCTGATATTTAAGGCTTAAAATTGAATACCTGTATAATTCAGTTTTTTTTAAATAACGTGTAGTATTATATTATTATAATAGTTAATATAATAAGTAAAATATTGTCACATGTATTCTGCTTAACATTTTTATGGTAAATATGCAGCATCCTCTTAAGACTATGTCAGAACTCTGTTATGTGTCAGTAAATAGGAATTCAGATCTCTCCGATGAAACATAAACAGGTTTGTCAGTCCTGTCAATCAAGCCATTGGCCCTGAACTCATGACCTCAGCAACTGACCTAATAAAACATTTTAATGTTGAGATTCTGTAAAGATTTGACTTCCTGAAGAGAAAGGACGCATAGCAGCTATTTCTCCAATTCTTGAGCTGCTCGTCCTGAGCTTGCTTCCTGTATTCTACTGTCCTGCATCTCACTCTAACAGGTATCGATGCAGCTACAGATGGGTCGTATAGAAGGTCCACATCTAACTCCACCCTCAACTATACTTCACTAAATTGAAGGTCACTGCCTCTTGCGGCATACGCTCCTCCCACTTTGAGGTCTGCAGGCTACAGTGCAATATACTTGGAAAGATGAAGCGGTGTACACCGGGGGGGTCAGGGTAAATGGTTGATGCTGTAGTTACGGGGTTTCATTTTTTTCTTTTGCAAGCAATATTCAGTGTCCTCCACTGATACACTAGTACAGTTAGCAAATATGAGCCCAACGGACTGTGAAAAATGTCTTCACGGTTTATCCTGTTTTTTTTATTTAAAATGGTCACAAAAATCACAAGTAAATAAATGAAAATAACTTAAAAACTATATTTTAAAAATATATATTTGTGCTACAATTATTGGCACTCCTTCCTTTAATAATTTGTTGAACCTTTTTGTAAAGATAGCAGTGTTGTCTTCTTGAACACATGGCAAGGGATGCCATCATTCCTCCATACAGAATCTCAATCACTAAACGGACCATTTTGCATATATATTAATAAAGCATCCCAATATTGGCGGAGGGCTCTGCAGAAAAACGAGTTTTTTCCCCTCCTCGTGTATTTAGGGAGCCGTCTTGCATTAGTAGCGAAAAGATTAAACATTTGCATGTTATTGCGTTGCAAGCACTATGCACTCTAATCTTGCAATTAATATGATTTGTGCAGTTTTATATTAAGCCGCTTTCAGTATGTTTTGTCCACAAGCCTAACTGCTCTTGGGTATCGAGACAAATAAATGACCATTACAGCCTGATTTGCTGGAAGAAAATTACATTTAAATCTGTCTTAAGCGATGTTTGTGTTCCTGTGTAAAAAATGCTTCTACAAAAAAAATATATAAAAATTCATCTGCAGATATGGTCTTGTTTAGGGATCTGACGGACATCTGACTGCCAAGTAATGACTGTGTTTTCCAGCAATAGTGTGCACCCTTAATTTACAGAGAAAAGAAGGTCAGGGAAAGATCTTTCAAAAAAGTTCTTTGTGCATTTGTGTTTTTTTGTTCTTGTTACCTTGCACTTTTTGTTAGAAAATATTTACTAATTTTTTCAAGTATCTAATATTTTGATACTTAATTTCCATGATCTAAATATTCTTAAAAATTTAAAGTTTGTTGTCATTTGGAAGTGTGTAGGCCTTCTTGCATTATTATACTGTTACATTCTGATTATATATTCAGTGGCATAAAATGGTCTTAAAATGACAATAATATCGCTTATCGCAATTATTTCTGGGGCAATAGATCGCACAACAAAAAGTTGTTACCGTGACAGGCCTAGATATAGCTTTAAAAATCTCACACCTTGACATCAATTAAGATATTTTTCACAAAACAGTTATCCCACAAGTCATTCTTTATATGTAAAAAGGAAACCCCACCCTTTACAAAACCAAACACTTCCCATCATCACATACATGTTCATTCACTCCAACAAAACACTGTAAACATAGTGAGAGAAAATATTACAATTTCAGACATTAAGGCCGTTTCCTCTCACTCAACATATTGTACACTGTATACATTTACTTTGACATGCTACAGTAAAATGAAGTTGAATATAACCATTTTCATGTCTCTTTCATTTGCTGAAGAACAAAAAAGTTGAGAAATGTTCAGAGAACATGGTCTACATTACGAGTGGCTTTACTGAAAGTGTCTCTACTGAACCTCCTGATACAGGACCAAAAACAAACAACTGATAGTACAGTTCAACTTAAATTCACAGTATTATCTTGACTAAAATCAAAGCGGATTCAAGAAAAATAAACAGAGAATTAAAAACAAAAAAGATGCAATGAACTTGCATTCTAGAAAGGTCTGATACAGTGAGATGCTAAAAAAAAAAGAGAGGTACAAGAGACAGCAAAGCAAACATCTTATGTCCTCAAGTGTGTCCAGGTTAACTGTGACGTAAGTGCACGTGTAGCATTATCAAAGGCTGCTCCTTTGAGACCGTTCTCTCAACCGATATGTGAAAATGGTGACATCATAACTTGAAGCCAAGAGACGAGCAGTCTTTCTCTGCCGATGCAGCATATAAATGTTCTCGTCTTTCCCAGGTTTGATTCCTTAAAGGGAGCGCTTGTCTCATCTTCACAAGTGAGAAAATCCTGAGTCTGTATGTCTGAGCAGCAATTCTGATGTTAAGCTCCAGGCTTTTGTTTTAATCGTATATATATTATTAACTTTATATAGAATTTTTTTTTCCATGATCAAAGTTCATTTATGTACAGTGTACTAAAAAATCCATAACCTTAAAAATAAAGAAAAACAAAAAACAAAATAAAGCAACTTTAAAATTCATCTCGTGGTAAAAATACAGTATGGAGAATTAAAAACAAAAAAGATGCAATGAACTTGCATTCTAGAAAGGTCTGATACAGTGAGATGCTAAAAAAAAAAGAGAGGTACAAGAGACAGCAAAGCAAACATCTTATGTCCTCAAGTGTGTCCAGGTTAACTGTGACGTAAGTGCACGTGTAGCATTATCAAAGGCTGCTCCTTTGAGACCGTTCTCTCAACCGATATGTGAAAATGGTGACATCATAACTTGAAGCCAAGAGACGAGCAGTCTTTCTCTGCCGATGCAGCATATAAATGTTCTCGTCTTTCCCAGGTTTGATTCCTTAAAGGGAGCGCTTGTCTCATCTTCACAAGTGAGAAAATCCTGAGTCTGTATGTCTGAGCAGCAATTCTGATGTTAAGCTCGAGGCTTTTTTTTTTTTCGCATATATTAACTTTATATATAATTTTTTTTCATGATCAAAGTTCATTTATGTACAGTGTACTAAAAAATCCATAACCTTAAAAATAAAGAAAAACAAAAGACAAAATAAAGCAACTTTAAAATTCATCTCGTGGTAAAAATACAGTATGTTCTAAATGTTAAGCACCATGTCAGGAACTGTAGCTGTAGATTTGGTCTTTCACATGCTTGCATGGGTGGTTTTCAGAGTCTTTATATAAGGAGAGAGGGAACTAGACAATCAGAGCTGAGCTTATTTTGTTTAAAAAATAAATAAATAAAAACTACTAAACTAAATTTCTTACCTTAGGTGTGATCAAGAAATCAGTTTCCCTTTAGTGAGGATGAGTGATTTTCTGTGAAAACCAGAGATCAGTCAGAGAGAGTTGTGCAACTACTACAACCATAAACCATAAAAAAAAAAAACTTACAAAATGAATGCATTTGATTTTTAATTACATTTAATATTTTACAAATATTTAAACTTCAACATTTGTAAACAAAGTTTTTCTGAAAAATGTGGCTACTTTAGCTTAGAATCCTGTATTTTTGTGGTTGAGTTATAAAATGTAGAGAGAGTCTACTCACTTCAACATCTGAAAGGGTCCTGTGATAGACACCGTCCACATCTCCATTTCCATTTGAGAGTGTCTTTGTGCTGTTGACAGTGGTAGAGTGGTCAAAATATTTGTATTTCATGTCTTGCTCCTTCCCAGTATGACAAAGATCAAGTTCATTTCCACTGTAACAGCTCAGGCCATTAGCTGAAGAAAAACAAAACAAAACACATTTACACAAAATACATTAGTTAATTTTTTCCCCAAATGGCATTTACGTGAATGTATAATACTGTGCCAGGATCAAATGTACGATTGTGGATGCAAGCAAGCCTGGGGAGGTTTTGAGTAGAATCCAGATTGTAAATTTGTTGTCAATTACTGGCAAACATGAACATTTCAGTGTTAGCACTGCTATCTGAAAGAGACTACTAAGCTTTGACCCATGCAATGTCAAAAGTCACAAAGATAAACCATATCACTCAAAAGGCCCGGTTTATATCTTGTATATGAAACACAAATATTTTTTTCTGTCACACAATGGAAAGAGACAGCATGGGTTATTTGTAATATTAATTTAAATGTCAATATTTCAATCAAAAAGCACCTCAACGCCCAATTATCATTACTGCAAAATAATGCAAACTGTAAATGTTTGCATATTACTT